TTACTTTGAAAAATATTCTACCACCTGGACTTTTAGGTACACCAACAGAATCAGAGGTAAGTATAGAAGATATCAACGTTAAGGCCCTTTTGGATACAGGATCAACCGTTTCAACTATAAGTAGATTTTTTCATCAAAATTATTTGAGCAACATAGAACTTCAATCTTTAGATACTATACTCAAAATTGAATGTGCAGGAGGAACAATGCTACCATATGATGGTTTTATTGAAGTAAACATCAGTTTGAAAGATATAGGAGGACCACATCCATGTATTTTACTTGTAATACCGGATAGTCCGTATAACAACCAGGTACCGTTATTACTAGGAACGAATGTATTAACATCAATTATGGAAAAATGTCGATACGAATATGGAGAAAGATTTTTACAAACTTCTAAATTGACGACTCCGTGGTATTCATCGTTCAGAAGTATATTACTTAGAGAAAAGGAACTTAGCCGAAACAACCATCGTTTAGCTATTGTCAAATTTGCTGGAAATACCAACATTATTATACCACCAAACAGTAATGTTACTTTACCAGGCTACATAGATAAAGAAATTCCGTACTGCAATACATCAGCTATGATACATCCAACTAAAAATTCCGTTATACCGTTTGATTTAGATTTATCACCGTCACTCATTGAGTATAAATTTCATCAGAATCATGACATCTCAGTTGATATTAGCAATGTAACAACAAGAACAGTAAATATTCAACCACATGCTTTACTTTGCGAAATACAGCCTGTATCTATTGAGGACAATATTGGATCTGAAAACTTGGAATTTACTCCACCTCTTTTAGAACAAGTTAAGGTTAGCGCTGATAACTTAACAACTCAGGAACTTGAAAAAGGAAAACAACTTATCCGTGATTACTCAGATATATTTTCGAAAGGCGACTCAGATATGGGACATACTACAATTGTACAACATAAAATAGAACTAGAGGATGATAGACCGTTTAAGCAAAAATACCGCCGAATACCGCCTTCAATGTTTGAAGAAGTCCGATCCCACTTACAGCAATTAATGCGAACAGGTATTATAAGGAAATCTCATAGTCCTTTCTCATCAAATGTAGTTTTAGTAAGGAAGAAGGATAAGAGTCTAAGAATGTGTGTAGATTTTAGACAACTCAACAAGAAGTCTCGTCTTGATGCATATGCTATTCCCCGTATAGAGGAAATACTCGACTGTCTTGCAGGAAACAAGTATTTTTCTACCGTCGATATGAAATCAGGCTATCACCAAGTGGAGATATACGAACCGCATAAAGAGCGCACAGCTTTTACTGTAGGCCCTTTAGGATTTTTCGAATTTTGTAGAATGCCGTTTGGGTTATCTAACTCACCTGCAACTTATCAGCGTCTAATGCAAGATTGTTTAGGAGACTTACACTTGAAAATATGTTGCATATTTATAGATGACATCATAATATTTTCTAGGACATTTGAAGAACATATGGAGAGATTAAAACTTGTTTTTGACAGAATTAGGGATGCCTGTTTGAAAATGGCACCAGCTAAATGTACCTTCTTCAAACCAAAGGTAAAGTATGTAGGTCATATAGTCTCAGAGGAAGGAGTTGAAACTGACCCCGATAAAATAGAGAAAATTAAGAATTGGCCAACACCGAAAACTCCAGAGGAAATTAGGCAATTTATTGGTTTTGCAGGATACTACCGCAGATTTATTCGAAACTTCAGTCAAATTTCTAAACCGTTAACTGAATTAATGCCGACACCAGCTAAAAAGACCAAAAAGAAAACTCATACTCAAATATCATGGACTTGGGGAGAAAAACAGGAAAATGCATTTGTAAAATTAAAAGAACTTCTATCAACAGCACCAATTTTAGGATATGCCGATTATACAAAACCGTTCGAATTACACACTGATGCTAGTGGATCAGGGTTAGGTGCTGTATTATATCAACATCAAGAAGGACACGACAGAGTAATAGCATATGCAAGCCGTGGACTATCGAAATCAGAAAAGAACTATCCGGCACATAAATTAGAATTCTTAGCACTCAAATGGTCAGTTTGCGACAAATTTCACAGTTATCTTTATGGACATGCATTCAAAGTATTAACCGATAATAATCCGCTCACCTATGCGTTAACAACTGCCAACTTAGATGCCACAGGACATAGGTGGTTAGCTGCTCTTTCAGTATATGATTTTGATATTACATACCGTCCTTGCAAAAACAACTCCGATGCAGATGGTTTATCAAGGATACCAACCAACAAAGAGACAAATATACCAATGGAATCTATTAAAGCTATATGTGGAATGATTTCAACACCATTAGTGGAAACTCTATCAATATCACCAGAAGTAGTTGATGAAACAACAATAGATACTCAACATCAAGTTTACAACGACATAGATTGGGTAAGTATACAACATCAGGATAAAGAACTTCAACCATGGATTGAATGTGTTAAGATAGGAAAGAAACCGAAGAAGGGAGAAATCATACACAGTCCGTTACTTAGACAGTTTGAACATCTGAAACTGATCGACAACATCTTATACAGAGAAGTAACAGATAGGAATGGTAAGATACTAAATCAGCTTGTACTACCATCAGATTATGTTAAAACAGTATTAGAGGCTTTACATAATGAAATGGGACACCCTGGACGTGATAGAACTACATCATTATTGCGTGATAGATTTTATTGGCCAGGTATGTCGAAAGATATTGACAATTGGATTGAGAACTGCGATCGGTGTATAAAAAGAAAAAAACAACCATCAAGAGCACCACTGGTAAGTATTACAACTTCACAACCTTTGGAATTGGTATGCATAGATTTTTTAACTTTGGAACAATCAAGAGGAGGACATCAGCATATGTTAGTAGTGACAGATCATTTCACTAGGTACGCTCAAGCCTATCCAACAAGGAATCAGACCGCTAAAACTACAGCAGAAGTTTTATTTCACCAGTTTATTGTCCATTACGGAATACCGAAACGCATACATTCAGATCAAGGAGCAAATTTTGAAGGGAATTTAATACAGGAACTTTGTAAACTTTTGGGAACTAAAAAATCTAGAACTACACCGTATCACGCAATGGGAAATGGAATGACAGAAAGATTTAACCGTACTTTACTATCAATGTTAGGAACTTTGGAACCGAATCAAAAACTTAATTGGAAATTACATGTAGGATCACTTGTTCATGCGTATAACTGTACAAAACACGAATCAACCAATCAATCACCATACTTTTTAATGTTTGGAAGAGAGCCGCAATTACCTATAGATTTAGCTTTTGGATTAGTTACAGAAAAACAACGCAAACCGCAAACAAAATATGTTCAGGAGTTAAGAGACAGATTAGTTAAGGCGTATGAATTAGCAGCTGCACACTCAAGGAAAGCTCAGGCGAAACAAAAGGAAGGTTATGATCTCAGAGCAAGAGGTGCAGTGATTGAAAAAGGAGATAAGGTTTTAGTTAGGAAAGTTGCATTCGACGGAAAACATAAAATTGCTGATAAGTGGGAGGATGAACCGTATATAATTTTATCGCAACCGAATTTAGAAATACCTGTTTTCAATGTTAAAAAGGAAAATGGAGAAGGAAGATTAAGAACACTCCATAGAAATCTACTTCTACCTATTGGCCATATTTCAGACAAAACCGTTAAAACTCCACCGAAACCGAAACCTAGATTAAAACCGATGAAATCACCACCGAAACCGAAATCAGTTATAGTTACAGACACTTCAGACTTAGCTAGTGAATCTTCATCAGAGGATGAATATTATTTTGTACCTGTTATGACAACAGATAGTGCTCCAACAAGTACTGAGGATACTGTTGCATTACAGGAAGTGGAAATTGAACAGGATACAACAGAATCAGTTGGGGACGCCCAATCTGATATTCAGGAAATCAGAGATGATTCTGAATTAGGAAGCGCTTCTGGAATTGATGAATCTAGTCATGAATTATTGAACGCAGATGAAACCGTTCAATCTGATAATGATAGTGATACATTAGATGATTTGGTTCTTACTCCGATACCTCCACCTAGAAGGTCGCATCGTGCTAGGAGAGAACCAAAGTGGCTAAGGTCTGGAGATTTTGTTGTAAAAAGTGCAGTGATTTGTGATTGGAAAGCAAAAGCAGAATTTATGGCTTCTGTAATTAAGGATGGAACTCTATCTGGATTAGAAAAAGAAGCTGGGAAAGCTTTAATAGACATTATTTTGAAATCATCTTAGAAATTCAGTGAGATTATTCCATTCAGTGATTGAGATCTGTGTTTTATCTTTTATATGTTTGATAGTTAATTTCATGAATTGTTAGTAAGAAGTACTGAGAGTCAGAACTTCACATGTGTATTATATATTGTATTTTGTTAAAACTTGACTGCAATGACGGGGACGTCATTTCCCAATGCAGGGGAGTTTGTAGTACAGCTTGATTTTATCATTTATGTTAATAAATAGTATTTGTATATATTTGTTCATGCATTGACTTGTTGACTGACTCTGACAGAGTATACAGTATGACAGTACTTTGATTTTCTATTCACTTGGGTATTTACATCCTGGGTATTCTATTTCTTTATTCTGATTGGTTACTCTGTGAACTCCTTTGATATTGAGGCACTCTTTTCAAATTCTACACAGAGATATAGAACACTGACACTTTATTGTGATTTATAGATACTTATTCTTCTTATTATGGAAACCATTCTTTATATTCAGGTCAGTTATATTCTTTACACTAGTATTTGATGCATGTATTTCTATATTTTTATCTTGGTATAAAAGATATGAATGTGTTATGAAAATGTGTATGAAAGTCCACTTTGATTCCCATGAGTATGAAAGAGTTCATATTTTTACTTTAAGTTGGTATTTGCAAGACAGAAAGAATATTACAGTTATTATATTATTTTTCATATTTGGCTGTTATTAGATTTCAGCATAGAATATTGTCTTACATTGAGTTTAACTATATTATTTACTAGTTTTGACATTAAGACTTATGAAGTCATATTTCTTTATATTCAGATTCCAGTATGTGAAGTATAAGAGTATACAGTAACTTTATAGAGGAGCACTGCTCAGCCCTTGTATTATATACACGGTAAGCTGTGTTCTGTGTTTACATGTTTATTTATTTACGTGTTGTCTATTTGTCTTTATGTGTTTTAATTAATGTGTGTCTTGTCTGTGTTTGTAATGTGTTATTGTTTAGTTTATGAATATCTCCGAATAGAATAGTGTATCAGAATTGATTACTTTAGATAATGATCGTTGACACAAGGTGTTATTGATATCTGTAGAATTGCATATTGAACAGTTACCGGAAATAGACTTTGGTATAGATGTTTATGATTTGTAGTTAAACATACTTTATTAAATATGGTATATTTCGAACTGAAGTTAACTACTTGGATAATTTATATTTTATTTTATTAATATGGAGATTATAATTAGAGTTATCGTTCTTTGAACGTATGTATTGTGTCTTATTGTGTGTTTTATATGTTACAGGGTGTTTATTTGAGATTACTATAATAAACCAATAGAACCTTACTCAGATGTTATTTACGCCCAACTTGATGAGTCTACATATCTATTATAATTGTCGAGATAATATAGGCAAACATTTAAAAAAAAATGGTAAAATTTGTCATTTTTTAAAAGTGTAATAACTCCTTTAGGAAGTTGTCTAACAGTTTTAACGTAAATGAACAATAGCTAGAGCTCAAGATTTTGAACATTTTTGCCCCTATCAGATTTTCTCTATTTATAGCGGTTTTCGAAACAATAGGCAAAACTTACATTTTACCTCTATGTTCTATTTTTAGCTATGCCGGTTGTCTTGGTTGACAGGCGGTGTCATCGGAAACGTTTGTTAAACTAGATACCCTAATAATGATGGTGGCCAAATTTGGTCAAATTTTGCCCAGTAGTTTCAGAGGAGAAGATTTTTGTAAAAGTTAACGGACAACGACGACGGACGACGGACGCCAAGAGAGGAGAAAAGCCAGGTGAGCAAAAAAAGAAGCAAGTGCCAGTGGTGGATTTATATTGCGGGTGGTGCATGCATAGCTGGAGATCACAGGCACTTGTTTCTGAAAAAAAAGTCCTATACTATACCCTAATAAAACACAATCTAATCAAAATATAGAATTTCGTTTCTTATACTTCATACGAGATCGGAGTTCTATATTTTAATTAGATTGATATAACACAAGGTACCCAATTTGCATTTTTGAGAAATGACACTCGGTCGCGAACTTTCGTTCTATTAGCCAAAACTTGTTGTTTCGTAAATCTACATTGAATTATCTACAAAATGATGTATGACACGCTTATTTCTGTAGTCGGAATTAAGTGTCTGTGCAGGAGATGTCTACCCTCTCGACGAACTCGGTCTTGTTAATTTCTGAGTTCATGCGATTCTCACAGTTTCTAGCATTTTACCTTGATTTGTATTGATTTATTAGATTTGAACATCTGTAAAATACTGTTGTCACAAATCTATTACGTGCACCCGTAAACAATTTGTTTGCCTGTTTGACCTAAATATTATATCAATGCCCTGTTAACCTTGTCTTAATTACCACAAAACAATCAGTAAATATCATGGCATATGATTGATTGAATCAGATAAACGTAATTGGTTACATTATATCTTGACTTAAATCTCTTTGAAGAGACATCGATGTAACTGAAATATGTGAATGAAACATAATTATTACATCAGGCGGATATATTACAGGTCCGGGTGCGAATAGCGATGTCTGTAAAAAGAGTCGTGTATGATATTGCAAAAATATTGGTCATCGGCAAGGACCAAAGCTTCTCAAATACGAGCTTAATAAAATAAAGCCTTAAGTTATCCTGCCGCATTGAGAAACGCCGTCAAGATTTAAGTACTTCTATCGAAATACATTGTGATATTTCCGAGTGTCCCGGTTTTATCGCTAGCTTAAATAATCTGCCAATGCGTGAGGGAGAATATCCGAGTGGTTATGGTTGCGTTTATATTGTGGATAACACTACATAATTTTGTTACTAGGAGTTATTTTCTATAAATCAAGTGCTCCCTTTTTAGCTCACGTGGCCCATCTATTCTTATTTTTTGGCCTATTTGTATGCACTATTGGCCCATTATTTTCTATTCTGTAAATCCCATTCAAATCCTTTTGTATGTGCCGACTCTAAATAAAACTTACTTACTTTGAATCAAACCTCTTATATACCGCTCATACTATTTTAGAAAAATGAAAATGGTATAACCAATGTCTTGCCACTTAATTTGTATCGCTATAAAAATGTTTTAATTAAGAAACTTTACTGAACATATTTTTGCTTAGAGACGATGAGAACTTCGCATACTTTTTTTTAATATAAAGTGCATTTTTTACATTATTTTAACCCTTGTCGTTTCATTTGTACCCACTCAGGCCATTTATGTTCAATAATATTGAAATTATTTTTATATATATAATTTTTTCGGAACTTAACTACCAATGTGCAGGTTGGTTCAATAACAAATTTTCAGAGTCTTTTCTAGTTTTTTTTATCATTTAAATTATCTTTTCTAGCTGTTGTGATTTGATTTTACAATTTCCACATATTACACAAAATTTTACTACCCATTAGTGATTTTTTTTGTCTGCGAGTTTAAAAAACCTTGACTTGAAAGAACAAAAGTTTAAAAAAGCCACTGAATATACCAAAGAGGTAATCCAAAACTCATTAGTCGAAAAGAAACCGACAACACCATGGGGAAAAAAAACGAAAACACGACGAAAAGACAAACAACATAACACTACGTAACAAACTAATGCTTCAGACTTAGCAACACAAATCCAACGACAAATTGAGGTTAAATCAGATGCTTCTGAAGGGTAAGTAGAATCTGCTCCACATGTGACACATGTTGAGTTGCTCATGGTAAGTATAGTTTTTGATGATAAGTTTCATTTAGTGTTGTCGAGGGAAAGATGCCGAAAATCTGGCTTCGACTTATAAAACATCTCCACGGTCACTTGTGTCACAGATATTCCATAAACGCCATGCAACCAAATCATGGTGGCGTCCGTAGAACTTTCGACGGGATAACTTCGATCAATGTTACCTTTAGGAGCCCTTTATTCAATGGCTTCATAGCAGGCATAAACCGTCTATTAAGGTAATCATGACAGGAAAGGCCAGCTCTTGAATATCGAACCAACTGGGAAAAATATACTATCCAGTCGCTGCTAAAGTATTTATGTTAGATGGAATACATATCGGTGCGTTCAACATAGTCCCCAAACTTTGACTTGTTTAGTGAGAGGATACCGCGACACATAAAGTTAAGGAATAATGCTAGCTTCTTTTGCATTCTTCTTGAGAAGCTCCTGTATGAAGTCTACCTTATGTTAATAAAGGAACAAGTCGTAAGAGGAGGATCACAGTTAATTATCAGCATATTGTCATGGAGGTAGGACATGTGTTTATTTATATTTGGGTCTTTGAAGATGTAGCTTGAACGTTAATAGACCCATAATATGTTTTAAAATTATCATTTGTATCAACGACTTCACAGCCTTATAGCACCCGGAAAGAACATCTATGTACCTTTTCATGTAAGACGCATTGCCTGACATAATCCTCGACTGAATCATGGGCCGTTAGTATTTACAAATTGTGTATTCAATTTGAGGATTACCTCCAATTTAAAAGAAAGAAGATTAAGACTGTCTCAAGTTTCTGCTCACTATTGCTGCATCTTCAACTTTCATTTGCTCTGACATACTCTACATGCACTTTGGGTTTTCAGGAAAGTATTTGCATGCTCTAAAATGCTTTACAATAAACAGTACACAATGATAAGACGTTCTAATCTCGATTATCTAGAGTATTATCCTGATTGCCCTGTTTTTGCAAACTAATCAAAATCCTTTTATCATATTTCCTTCGATATTCTTTCTTAATGTTTGCATTTTATCCATTTCAGGGGAACTCTGAATAAAATAATGATAAGGAATATGACCCATATCCTTTGTGGAGATCCCAAATAACATATAATGTATTTTAAATGGTTTCATTCGTTTCGTTTGTATGAACTCCAAGAGTATCGTTTGACCAATTATAGCTACTATTTCCGAATACACCACGATTTAAAACTTTAGTTTTCATATAAATTTTGCTTGCAATCACTCTTGGCAAAGTTAAATTGCACTTTTTTTGTACGGTTTCGTTTTTTTAAGGCACTGTTTTGCAATATGGTGTTTCCGTTATTCGGCAAAAAAAACCCCAAAAATTCCCCCGTTAAAAAAAAAGAAGACGTTTCTACGGTTGGTTTCTAGATATCTTTCTGTGGGTGTCCTTTAATTGGTATTTAGATTAATCCCAAACCCAATATCAAGTTATAGACCAACACAATGCTTTATTAAATTACTAATATCTTTAATCTGTACATACACTATTTCATTAAAAAAGATAGTATGATTCTGACTCCAGATTATATTTCAAATACATGATTTTAATCCTTTTTGTCAATTAATACATAGCACAATTATTAAATAACTGGTTAACCAAACATTGTTTGTTTAAGGTATTAATTCAGATCAGTTTAAATTTAGAATGGTTCTTCGGGCGTAGCCGTGTGACTGTGTGTATTTCTGATTGTGAAAAAGGACATCAACTAATTGTTTTATTATTAGGAACAATCTGCAAATTGAGAAACTTTCTTTAAAGAAAAAGAAATTTCAAATTTAGCAAACGACATCGCGACACCCTCCCCATCAAATGTTAAATGTATACAAAATATGCGACCACTCTACGGAAGACGTCCTCCATCGGATAACCTATAGTTATACAGATCTAACACCACACATTACATGCATTCTGTCTATAATTTAGCTAAACAATGTTTGACATTTACATTTCTGGTAGCTTATTTTTATTTACATTTCTTCAGTGCAATTTGAACCCATACGTTATAGCATCGTGTCACTTATGCCTACGCTGTTTCAAGCGCCGTAGACCACTTGTCCAACTAGGTTACATTTCCTCTGTTCGAATTCATCTAATTCCTCTAGGTTTGTAACATATCTTATGATGTATAGCGGCATGTAGATGGAATACCTTGTAGATCAGCTGCTCTTTTGTTTTTTTTATGTTTTTGTTTTTTAGATGATATCAATTAAATATGTATAAAACTACTATTAGGAAATTATGAACGAATTGTGTTGCTAAAGGCACCCGTCTGTAAAGTGTATAACATTGATTGCACTTCAATACAAGAGTTGCACTCCAACCACCTAGCTGCACAATTGATTTGGAAACTAGTAAAACCTGTGAGAAGAGCTTCCAAATTCACATTACCTCCAAACCCATTTGCAGTTCAGTAGTCAGAACTTCTGTGTTGATATGAATTATCATTGATATGGTCATAATCATAAATTAACTGCACATAATTACAAAACTTTGAATTTCGAAATACTAAGGGTTTTCTATTCCAGGAATAGATTACCTAAGTTTTATTTGGCAAAACCTTTCAGAAATTTGGGTCCTCAATGCCTTTCAACGTCGTACTTTTTTTTTTTTTTACGTTTTTACCTTTTTTCAATCGATCGATTGTCACTGATGAGTCTTTTGAAGTCGAAACGCGCGTCTGGCGTACACAATTTAATCCTGGTATCTTTGATTAGTTTATTATGTATATATGAAAGGGTACATGTTTTATTCTTAAATTTCCAATTTTTTATTCTTAATTAAGTTAAACATAAAAAGTTATTCGGCTTGAAAAATTAAATTAGAGGTGCTTAATGTCATAAAGTCATAAAGGCTAATTGGAAGTGTTATTAAAAAAAGTCGATGGTTTTTAAGGAGTTTAAAATAAAAGGTGTATTTCTTTTTTATTGATATGACAAGTACGCATTTTGTCATTAATAACCCATACATTATTTCGACCAAAAGAATAAAAAAAGAGATGCATGTACTAAGGATTTTTGTGAAGTTTTCATTGTAGTCCAATATAAAAATAAGAAGATATGGCATAATTGTCTATGAAACAACTCTCCACCAGAGACCAAATGACGTAGAAGTTAATAACTATAGGTCACCGTACGGCCTTCAATAATGATCAAATCTCAATTGTTGGTTTATGAGGATTCGCGGATATAAATCGTCGATGGTACGATCAAACGACACAGTGTATGTATAATTCTATTGAAATGGTTGTCTTCAAAATAAAGTCAATATGACCACTATGCAAATGAGCAAAATACTTGAAATTTTGATATATGCCACCTGTCTATTTCTTATGACTGATTGTTGCCCTCTATATGTCTAAGATGTCTTTTTGATTATATCTGTCCTTCAGTTGTTGTCTCATTGAAGTATATCCCATATGTTGAATTATTATTCATTTAAATAAGATATCGTCTGTAGTTTCTTTTGTTGTTGTTGTTGTTGTTGTATTATGTTTCATTTGTTGTTGTAGCATTATGTCTCTTTTGTTGTTGTTGTATTATGTTTCATTTGTTGTTGTAGTATTATGTCTTCCTTGTTGTTGTAGTATTATGTCTTCCTTGTTGTTGTAGTATTATGTCTTCCTTGTTGTTGTAGTATTATGTCTTCCTTGTTGTTGTTGTATTCTGTCTCTTTTGTTGTTGTAGTATTATGTCTCTTTTTTGTTGTTGTTTAATATGTCTCGTTTGCTTTTGTTGTATTATTATGTCTCTTTTGTTGTTGTTGCTGTTGTTGTGTTGTTTTTCTTTTGTTGTTGTTGTTTTTGTATTATGTCTCTTTTGTTGCTGTTGTTTTTGTTGCTGTTGTTGTTGTATTTAGTTTCTTTTGTTGTTGTAGTATTATGTCTCTTTTTTGTTGTTGTTTTAATATGTCTCGTTTTTTTTTTTTGTATTATTATGTCTCATTTGTTGTTGTTGCTGTTGTTGTATTGTTTCTCTTTTGTTGTTGTTGTTGATGTATTATGTCTCTTTTGTTGTTGTTGTTTGAAAATATACGACATATAATAGAAAAAAGACATAGTTACAAAATAAATGAATTTTATTTACATTATGATAAGAAAAATAATGAATAAATATTAAAAATTAATATGTACACCGTATTGCATAGTCTATATGTGAATGTATATTTAGTCTAAAAATATTTCAACACAATTATTAATTTTTGGCATTGTATCTACAGCTTTGAAACACACTCGATATAGTCATTCCGCAGTAAATTAATTACAAATTAAATTATTTAAGTATATTTTTCTAATCTACAGATGATGACAAAAACAAAAGCGTTTTTTTTATTTTTAATTTAGAAATAGAAAAGAATAATAAAAAAAACAAAAAACAAAAAAACAAAACTGCACATGTATTTTTCTATCTTTTGAAATTTCAAGAAAGGATCTGATCGTTTAAGTGAACAGATACAGAGGTCTTGTGGGTACAATTTTATGTATGTACCCACGGACATATTGCAGCCTTGTTAAACGCCTTGAACAACATGTACACTCGTTTGTTGCTGTATATCATATTTGTTTTTCGTTCATTACTTTGTACATAAATCAGGCCGTTAGTTTGTTTAGTTTGAATTGCTTTACATTTGTCATTCCGGGGCCTTTTATAGCTGACTATGCGGTATGGATTTTACTGATTGTTGAAGGCCGTTCGGTTACCTATAGTTGTTAATTTCTGTGTCATTTGGTCTCTTGTGGAGAGTTGTCTCATTGGCAATCATACCACATCTTCTGATTTTTATATATAGAGTCATTTTTCCATGGAAGTTTACAGGAATGTTATTAAAACATATTTTTTAGGCCTCTCATGGGGGTGTCCATGTAATCACTTAATCACAAAGTGTTGCCAATATAATCACATAATCATTAATTTTTTTTTTTAAACAAGATAATCAAATAATCAAAAATACAGTCCTAGATTATTAAATAATCAAATAATCAAATTGGTCTGGTAATCAAATAATTACTTTAAAAACGTCCAAGTAATCACATAATCAAAAACCCAATGAGGAGGCTCATTTTTTAGATTTATTCTCAAACAAACAGGAGAGTCTTAAAAGCCCTAAACTGTTTGTTTTTCTTACCCTTACACATATATGAGTATAAAAGTGTTATTCCGATGTAACCGAAATCATAATCCTTCCATCAATATTTATTCAACGAGTTTACTTGTAACATATCACTCTTCGCAATCATTTTTACTGTTCCTAGACCAGAGATTTACCCCCTATGAATTATAACGTTTTTATCCACACTCCAAAGACTGCTAATATGAACTTTTTATTATTGTCTCCTCATAATCGAAAACAGGAGATGAATACTATATTACATAATTTTTTTGACCCATCTGAACTTAATTTAGTTTAAAACAGAATAAAAGTTGTTTTCTTTTTAAAGAAAAGTCATTATTTTCAAAACGATAGAAATACATTTAAATGATATATTTACAATTATGAATCATTTACTGTTTTCTTTGAGATCACAATTAGTTTATACAGGTATAAAAAATACACACGTGAAGCTGTTCAAACAAATATGTTACTAATTACAATATGTTCTTCAGGAAGGTTGAGGCTCAAAATGGGGGTTGGATTATATTTTTTTTTTCAAATGTGTACTTTTCGTTACGTATAGTTATTTTGCACAAGTTTATGAACACTTGTATTTTTCTATGCGTTGCTGAAACAAATATAATTAACAAGCTATATGCAGTGTGAAACCTTTAGAAAATGATAAAATGTTTCCCTTCTAGATGATACAAAATGTGGTTGAAAATGAAATACATTATCATATCTTATCACTCAAAAGCTTCAACTGATATCTGTAGTATTTAGTTAACAACTCCCACATCAAAAAACAAAACCTACATTTCGTATGATTATAAACGCAATAATATTTTCTTATGGAGCATATATCTTTAAAACATGTACATGATGTAAATAAAGTACCAAGTTGCACACATAAACGATGGAAAATAATGTTTCTTGAAAAAATATTGCATTGACAAGATATCATATTGAACAAAAAACGTTGTGTAATTTCTTTTATAGTTGGATATTGGCAATAGTGTATTACACACTTTTAACACAAATAGTTTTCCTTTGCCAATTGTAGACTTATTCTAAACCGGACAAAATGACCTGCTGCCCATGCAAAGCATGATGAGTTGAAATTGTTAGGAATTTAACTTTACCTTTGTACTTATCTTACAACAACAACACAAGTCTATATACAATGTAAAGAAAATAAAATAAATCATAGCACTATCACAGATTCTGATCTGCTCTTGTTATAATTATTGTTCATGTTAATATTTAACAAAAAATATACAGATGAGTACAGTCATAACCTGTATAGTAAGTTAACTTCATTACCAGATATTTTTACTGATCTGACCGATCATAGAAGTACACAAGCTAACCTTGAAAGTACTGTAGACTTGGTCCTAGTGATTTAATAGTTCTAAAAAGCTGATAAAAAGTTTACTCGTTTGTCTGGTCTACATATATCAAGTTTACTTTAAAAGCTGTCAAAACGTCTGTCCAAAGTTAACTTTTGTGCAGGTTATGACCGCACCAATCTGTACGAAAGTTAAACTACCCGAAAAATGATCTCTAGGTTATTTAAGACAAAGTTATATAAGCTTACAACCGGCATATAAAATGACATAAAAATAACCAAAAACATTCAAAAGTAGGATTTAGTTAGTAGCTTTCCAATTTTTTTTTATTGCAAAGTCTAAAACGACCCTTCTGTCTCTCCTGAGGCTTGGTTGTTCTGAAATCATTATATTTAATACACGGTACGGTTAAACATATTGCCAAAAATTTGGTTTTAATAAAAGGCACTTGTATGATAACTTTTTAATCATTTTGCTATAGCCAGAATATGTGCTAATAAGGAAGGCACAGAAGATTGGAAAATTATTTGAAATATTTACTCGATAAAGGCAAAATGTATTACTATTGGCATTTCTTACGGGGTATGCATACCTGGCCACGTCCTCTTGTTATTGTGGTATTTGTATTTTTATCCATCTGATGAGTTAAGCCTCTTTCAACTGATTTTTATAGTTCGTTCTTATGTTGTACTGTTACACCACTGTCCCAGGTTAGGGGAGGGTTGGTATCCCGCTAACATGTTTAACCCCGCCACATTCTGTATGTATGTGCCTGTCCCAAGTCAGGAGACTGTAATTCAGTGGTTGTCGTTTGTTTATGTGTTACATATTTGTTTTTCGTTCATATTTTGTACATTAATTAGGCCGTTAGTTTTCTCGGTTGAATTGTTTAACATTGTCATTTCAGGGCCTTTTATAGCTGACTATGCGGTATGGGCTTTGTTCATTGTTGACGGCCGTACGGTGAACTATAGTTGTTAATTACTGTGTCATTTGGTCTCTTGTGGGGAGTTGTCTCATTGGCAATCATACCACATCTTCTTTTTTATTTAGACATGTATTATGATTTATGTTGTAAGATACATGCTTGCTTGGCATAGAATCCATGTCTATCATTTTGTGTCGCCACAATGAAAATGCTATATATTAATCCACCATTTCATTTTCGGGTACAAAATATTTTCAAACCAGAAGCCTCTTTGATGGATATCACTAAAATAATTAATCACAGAGCGATACTTCAACTGTTATATATAACAATCTAACAATAAAATACTGATAACAAAACTAAACAGCTGTATAAATAATATTGTTAATAAAATAATCAAACAACTATAAAAAAAAAATACATACAACACAAAGATCTACAAATTAAGCAGACACACATGTAAACACTTGGGGAATGATATATAAAAGTAAAACAAAAAACAACAATTATGATGAAAAAATCAAATAATACCAGAAAAGAAACAACTGAGAGAAATACCAATTGCACAAACCAGAATGGTATGTTATGCCCTTCAGTTATAATGCTGTTGAAATGAAAACTGGTTATCTTTTAAAAAAATGTATATATCTATATTCTCAAACAGCCAATGCATTACATCAGTACAGAAAACAATCAATTTGAACGTAAATTTACCCTTTATTGAAATTAACAAAACGTTGAAAGTTCTATTGGTTTACCACCATGGTAAATAAATATAAGAGCAATTCATCATCATTGTATGGAATATTCAGATACAAACATAACTAATTTCAACTGAATATTTCCGACGAATGAGGACGAAGCCTTAAACATATGGGCAATTGCTTATGGTAACAAAAGAAACCGTACCAATAACAAATAATACTGGCCATAGACTGTAAAGACATCTTAAAGGGAAAATCATTATCTCTTCTTATAGATGCTTTTTTGATAATATTTTACTACAAATGTATATAAAGTATTTTGTAAGTGGACGACCTATTGATTTGTTATGAGGGACCTGAATGATTTCTTGTGGACGGAATATTTATTTTGATATGTTGCCAGTCTGGCTTATTTATTTTGCGTGGTAATTGATTTTCACTTTTGTACACAATTTAATCCAGGATATTGTTGGGCAATTTTTACCATGACAGAATATTTATTTCCAAAATTCTCCTGACCCCTATCAAAATAGCAAATGATAGTCTCTAATTAAGTGTTTGAGGTAAATAGTTCGGATACTGGAATGTCTAACACTACATATGTTGTTGGGTTACAAAAGTGAATCAAAGTAGAAAAGGCTTACCAAAACATTGGAAACTTCTTTAAATAAACGAGAATTTTGACTTCATATTTTGTAATTCTATTGGATATTAGACGTATTTAACGCTTTAATCAAACATTCTTCAGAAAAATTTGAAAATAAAAAGTATATCGGATTACGTATTCCTCTCCATGCTTTTCGATCAGATCCAAAATGAAAACATTGTTATAAAGAATAGAGCTAAAAGCCTTTTACTGTTATTGTAACATTAACCGATATTTATAGCCAAAAAAAACTGATTGTAACTTATTGACGACTAAAACAGCGTGAAGTTCAATTTATTTTGCAGGTGCCACTTATTTTTTAGTTTACTTGTTCGATACCTTTATGCATCTGTAATTTCGTTCCCTACACGTTAGAAAAAGATATATTGTATATGTTTGATATTGTGTTACCTGTTCGATTTTTGAAAAAGTTCAATACATTCCCTGCAATAATATGCATTGTCTAATGACTTTTATAGCTTAAAGCTCATGATGACAAAGTTTTCTATCATGGAAATATCTACAATACAAAACGGTGCAAACTTAAATTATAGATATGTGCAGACGCAACACAACTTTCAACGTATGAAGACATCGAAATTTAAACATAAAACACACCCAAATCATAAAAGTTCGTTTCAAATGCACCAAGAAGTATATTAAAAAATATACATTAAATATGTATATCTCTATTGTGAAACAACTTACAATAAGAAAGGGAAAAACGTTGACAGTCTACCGCTGAATTCTATTGAGAATAATATAACAATTTAACAAAACATATGTTCTTTAACTCTTAAGATTTTTGTATCAATAATGTTTTCTTTGTAAATTTCAAAGCATGCAAATTAAGTTTTTGTAGAAGGTATATACTATTGAAAGAACATGTGGGGGTTGGGTTATATAACGCCAATGAGGCAGCAACCTAGTGACATAAAGAAAAAAAATCTAGAGGTCAAGAGGTCACACACACATACAATAGACTATTTTCATAATACCGACTTTTGACTCCGGATTATATAATTTGTCGACTGGTTACCTTGGACATCATGGTACTCGGTCAAATAAGAGCAGCCAAAATAAGTAAAATCAAATATATAATCGGTGTAATTAGAGGGGAAAGTTTACTGTTTTCCGATGATTTTGTAGTGAAAAAAAAAATATTAACCAGGTAATTTTCCCCCAAAAGTGTACCGATTGAAAGCTTGGTTTTACTTCTTTAGCTTGCGCTTACCTGACTTGGTACCATGATGTCCAAGGTAACCAGTCGACAAATTATATAATCCGGAGTCAAAAGTCGGTAATATGAAAATAGTCTATTCTACATCGTTATGTAAATCAAAATTAAAATGTTGTTCGCTACCTCATAGTAATTATTTGGTTACACTCGTAGTTTCTATGACGGAAAGTCATCAAACAATATGCATTCGGAAATTTAAAGTCTACTCTAACCAGTATATATTTTTAATCGAGAAATCATTAAAACACTAATGATTACTGCACAAATGTTCTAAGTCATCAATAGTTATAAAGTAGTCATTTCCATTCTCAATTTTACTTAAAAAGAACTTCGATAACACTAAAAGGTTTCATAGTAAGTGATTGATTTCGATGTCTTGAATATAATGGTACATAATACTCATTTAATATGTACCGTTTAAAAATAGCAAATGCGATATTGACTATTGAACGTATTATGACATCATCTCATGATGAAACAACGAAAAATCTTTTTGGCAATACAATATAGCACATATATCTGGGGACAAACATAATCACTGACTCATTCCATCAAAAACTAGTATCACAACCTAATTTCTAACCATCAAACAAAAAATTGTATCTATATATAGAACATAAATGGAATAAAAAATCTATATATGTGTTGTATACAGTACACACATCAATCGTTGTACCTATATTATTACTTCAACTGTTGGTTGTTAGATTAACGTAAATAATTCTATTCCATTTTAAGACAGGTGTCAAAATATTCAATGAACAATTTCTTACCAATTTCATATGAATGTCTAAATAAACTAAACGTGATATACCGACTTAATGGACGACCAATTTTTAATGAGGGGTGGATGGGGTGGATGGGGTGGACCATTGGTTTCTAATATTTAACCTATGCTATATTTAAGAGTTATGTAAGTGATCATCAATAAGATTAAACCATCCTCCCCATTAAGTTGTATATGAGCAAACAAACTGTTGATGCATCAATTTCATGATAATTATAAATTTCTGTTTTGAGGTTAAATATCTTTATCATCTTTTTTGGCACAACATTTAAATCTACAACTATGAATTAATTTTGATGAAATGGGTAAAGTTTTATTATAGAATATGATTTATTCAGTTCTGGGTCACTAAAGTCATGCTGCTTTCTTGTTAGCCATGACAAATTTCGATGATGCATAGTTTAATTGCTGCAACAATTTTAGACACTTATGCTTACATACCTGGAACTAATATAGTTCAACCAACATGAATTCCCCTAATTGCCCAAATTGAAAAAGAGACTAAACTGTTTTTGAACATGAATAATTAAATAGTAAAAGAAAAACAATAATATGAGCTTATAAAACGTAAAACAAAACTCTCTATATCAGCATATATACAGTCCGCCAAAAGTTAAGCACCACCTATTTTTATTGCTTAGAAATTTTTTTCATTTAAAAAAATCAGTTAATCCTCGAAAAAGAGAAAATATTCATGTAGCAATTTTGCTAACATATACCATAAACAAACCGTAGACTTAAGTTTGTTCACGTATGAAGGTTCTATGCATTTGAAATTTGCGTTCATAGAAATAGTGAAAATTACACAAATCAGAAACGGAATTTACGTTTCACTGTGATTTTATTTTTTTACAACAATTAATCACCCAATATCATTAAAAGTCTCTACAAATAATCTTTGGCATGTTCGGCAAATTCAAAGTCAATATTTGAGTCAATAGAATGTGTAACACCCTCTCTTCCGGTACAGTTCCATAACACGGAGTCTCATACTCTCTACAAGCCTTCTGAACTTTAGTTGAGCAAATTTATTCAATTTAGCAACAATTGTGCTTCTTAAATCGCTAAGATTTTGCAAAGGTGGAACTCTGCGATTGAGATTTCTGCCAATGGCATCATAGACATCTTCGATAGGGTTCATGTCTGGAGACATGGAAGACCAAAAGATAGTGTCAATGGCTTCTTGCTCTTTGTACTCTTTGTACTCGGTTACAATCCTTGCCCTGTGTGGTTTAGCATTGTCGTACATGCACAAGGGTCTTGAAGCAAGTGAAGGATTATCAAAATGAGGGACTACAATGTTTCTAAGCACCAAATCCCTGTATGTCTGTCCGTTCATGTTAACCTGCAGAATATGCATACCCACCTTACAACAGTAGGAGAAGAAATCCCATACTGTAACACCACCAGAAACGTATGCAGTCATTGGGCAAATGTTGTTTTGGTCATTAGCAGTTTTATTTCCACGACAAACTCGTATTCTGCCGTCTATTGGTCGTAACAGAAACTGACTCTCATTTGACCAATGAACATTTTGCCAGCTTCTCATGTTCCAGCGTCGATGGTCATTGGCCATTTGAAACCTAATTATACGGTGCCTGACTGTTAGGGCAGGTCTCTTGACAACACGACGTGCTCTTAGGTAGCCTCTATGAAGTCGACGGACCAATGTTCAAACACTAACATGACCACCTTGACACCAGTGGTGTCTAAGTTGTGGGGCAGGAGTAAATGGGTTGGCTTCAGCACAACCAATAAGTAGTCGGTCATCCAGATCGGTAGTTAATCGGGTCTTCCGGACATTGGTCTATCATTTACAGTTCCTGTGTCAACATGACGTTGTAAAAATCTGACAATCACGGTGTGTTTAACATTGAAATGGTTACCTATGCAACTAGTGCTCCTACCGGCATTTGACATGTCAATTGCTTGTCAAGGTTCAGTCACATATAACTTACCCCTTGCCATATTTCACAGTGACTTTGTGAAGGCCAAATTTCACCTGTACGCGGGACAGTAGGAAGATGATTTAAAGGCATCGAAACAGTGTATTCGAAAAAGTGCAGATGACCTTTAATAAAAAATTGCTTGGCGTGTTTATCGGAGTTTATTTTTTGTTGGTCGTAATGAATTTTCTTAGTATATGTTATAGGCAATTCATAACACCAAACATAAATATGTTTTTCGCAATAGTTAAAAAAATATTGCCAGTTATATTTAGGTGGTGCTTAACTTTTGGTGGACTGTATATATATAAGTGCCTATTAATAGCAGCACATGACATACACATCTATGGGAGTGTGGATTAATCAGTACAGAGATTAATTCAATTACACAAATAAAATTATAGATTGCCTAACAATGTAATAGCAAATTACATTGTTAGGCAATCTATATATATAAATATATATATATATTGTTTTACCATCCACCATCATCATGATCATTGTGTTTGCTTTACGGCAGTCGAAATCTGGTCCCATCATTCTAATGCACCAATCATCAATTTAAAACTCTTTTCTTTATACGTATATAATGTTGAATGTTGTCGTACATGCATCCCATAAGGGATACTATTACAAATCAAGTCACCGGACATACTCTTAAACGGGACAGTATCCTGTTAGTGAGATACTTCTCACTTCGTTGTATTATGTGGAATCAATCTGTTTTTACCTAGTATTTTGATTTTATCACACTGAATCTGCATTTTCAATGTTACTGTTATCGTCTGCACTTTGTTTATATTTTTCTAAGAAACCAGCGTATAAATATCTGATGACATCGGAAGCAATGACATCGTTAGCGTTGTTACTTATTTGACGTAATACGAAAATGCCATCCTGTTTCAAAAAGTCCTTTACAAAGTCTTTTCTAATTCGTCTATCGGAATCTGTCTTTTTGTGCTGTTCGTTGATTTTAAGATACTTTCGTATATATGAACGACGATGATGAGGCAAAAGGTATCCATAAAGATTAGTCAAGAAACCGAAACCATTCGCAATGGCAACGAAAACCATCCAAAACCACAGAAATATAAATATTTTTTCGTTGAAAAGATTGACCGGAAGCACACATTGTACAGTCCATCGTTGTAAATTTGTCATCTGTCGAATTTCGAAATCACAGAGCGTAACACGCGGGAATTTAGGAGAATAAGTCCAGTCTTCTCCCTCGTAGAGAGAATTTAGAACTTCAAATCCGTATACACTGTATTTTGATCCCATAAATGCATTCATGGTATACATCATAGCAATCGAGTTTACTAAAAATAATAACTTGTATACCATGGCCACTGTTGTTAAATAGTTTCCATAATGACGTCCGCAAAGAAAGAAACAAACTTCTCCTATCTTTTCACGCAGATGTGGACAAAGACCAGCCCTATGCGGTGAGGCAGATTTTAACCACTGTCCCATATATTTGGATATATGCTTCAATTTCTTTTCACGCTCTTCAGGTGCAAGGTATTGTGTATCACGTGCCATCCCGTTGATTTTATCTATGCTGATCCCCGAATATGACCCAAGAACTTTGTATATTAATCTGGGTACCTTGTAAAACATTGAGCATACTAGAAGAATAAGTGGGACCCATTGATAATATGTTAGTTCTTGTTCTCTCCTTTGGTCATACTGAGCAGGGATTTGATTCTGCATGGGAATATAATAGGTATTCGACACCCAGCATACGAAATTTGTATAATCGACTCGATTTTCCGTGAAATCTGTCGGACACCAACATTCAATAGGATTTCCGACATATTGGCTTGTACTCACTATTACCGTAAATATCACTAAAAGCATCACAGTATATTTGTGGTTTAACCTATCGATGAAGTCATCGTCGTAGGTGCCTCGTATTCCAACAGCTTGACCGGCAGTACCTAATACATGGTCTAACCTAAAAGAAGAACATATTTTTAGATTAGGCCTGTAGATAATTGACAAAGAGTCTAAATGTGTTTAATTCTTGCTCAAGCTATTGGTAAAATGAGAAAAATATAATGTATATTCAAGGAGCTCAATATTAACCAAAGTGTGATTATGCATAAACATTTTACTAGCAGATCAGTTAACAGTTTTATTCAAAACGCATTTCTTAGTTCAATTTCTATTACTGATTCATTTAGTTATGTAAATTACCAGTACTATTAAGAATTATCACTCAACCTGCGTAATTTCATTCTCTAGATTTAAAACCGATTAGTGGAATTGACTTTTCATTCATTTTTTGTAACTCTCAAGCTTTTTGACGTTTCATAAAGTATAATATTAATGAACATTTTTTTACTTATTTAATCGATACAAAATTCAGTCTCACACAAATAAATAATACTCCACATCAGTGAAGGTTTTTAGCTTATTTTGACAAAATTCAACCAAAGGGATTGCTAATACTTAATTGTTATTCAAAATTCCGTTCTTATAAATGTTTGAGAAACAGAAAATACCGCTTCAAATAAATGGCGCATTTCTGTCTTCATAACATTTGATTGAAGAGGATTCACTTACCTAGCTCTGAAAAAAAGAATGAATGCACAAAATGTTATATCGTGTTAAATACAAATACGGCAAAATTTCGATAGTTCGATACAAATTGACTCCATGAAGTTATATCTCTGTTAAGGTTTGGAAAATTGAATAATAAATTATTAAAACCAATATTTTTAAAGAACTTTGAAACCATCTTTCTGTTCGATCTATCGAAGTTTCACAGTTACTCATATACAATATATCGTAAACAAAGAGTATATATGAGGCACACACTATTTGAGATAAGTTTGTAAGTTAAGCAGAAATAGTTATTTTTAGTGGAGAAATACAATTAAATGGTTAATTTGGTGCAACTTAGGAATACAATGAACAAATAAAGCACACAATTTTTAGATACACAATTTATGACGAAAGATCATATCCGGAATAATAAACCGGACTTTTAACGTTTAAAAAAAAAAAACTGGCAGTGTATACTTTAAGAAGTAGTCTTTATAAGAATTATGCAAAATATCAATTTTGTTATACGCTTCAGGAAAGGATACAAATGTTAATGTTTGTCAATCAGTTGCAATATGGGTGTAGATGACCGTCATGGGTAATATTTTCCATTTACTGCCTCACAAGGACAGATAATTGGCATTCATTTTACAACAGATTCGATAAGAATTATTAGAATAACTCAGTCAGCATGAGTTTTATTATGGATTCTATAGAAGAAATATCTGGAATTGGTCCATATAAAAACTATGTTTGAATTTCAACAAAAAATTATTTTAATAATTAGACATTAAGACTTTCCTCCTATGAATCACATTTTGCATGATTCTTATATGGACTGGTTCTTTAAAAAACAAACCTCTGGTTTCCGTCCTTAATACCGCTAAGAACATTGTAAACTAATGTAATTAAGGAGGTACCCATATGTTAAAGGGCATAACTCTTAACATCGTTGGTATGTTTTAATCAACCATTTTCCTTTATATATTCTAAACTTTAAAGTAACATAGATTATCTTAATTGTGCTGCACATGAATGTTTAAAAAGCATCGACAAACATATCTATTGGAAGCGCATTACTTATTATAGAGTTTTTCTCAAACCCAGAGCTACCCGTATAAAGTAACATGTATGTTAATTGATATTACAATACAGTATTTGAATCGGATATGGCTTTCAGATTTTTAAGAGTGTATAAGATCATCACTTGCTTTGGGTACTGATTCGTGTCATCCAGATAAGCGGCAACAGTTGGACCTCCAAGTGTCATTCCTGTAAACAAACAATACCAGGGTATACACAAATTTTACTAAGTAATAAACTCTCCTTACATTAATTTAATAGCGCTAATAAACATTGGTTACACGAACATTTTCAGTAACGGTTATCGATACAGATATGTTGATTCAAAAAAAGCTTCGATTAACTTCTTCTTCCAGAACTATGCTCATTTAAAAGATGGCGGAGATACTCAAGGGGCAACCAGAATCCATACGTCGTAGAATGAAAAAAACCCAAATTAAATAGCTACCAGATTAAAACTTTGAAAAGATAGGCAAGTCTACAAAACAGTACACAAAAGATTGAAAAACACGCACAAAACAGTCGTTTCCTAGATACTGATAAAACCAGTAAAAAGATTAATTCTATTTCTGAAGATTTCGAAGAACAAGACAACAATCAACGTAAAGAAGGAAAGCAATCACAACAAAAGCTTAAATCAGGACAACATGTACTCCGTAACAATCTGTAGAAAGATTAAACACAGATTTAAGGATACTACACTATATACGAGTTATGTTCATGATTTGGAATTAAAACACCTGTCGCGTTAACATAAATGGGGTCTCTGGTTCTCATTTCTTACCCTTTGTTTAAAACAGCTAGGTACCCACACCATAGAGCAAGTCATGACAAGTTCTGCGAGCCTTCCACATTTCATGTCTAATATCAAAACGAGAAGAAAAAGATATTGAACGAAAATTATGGCATCTTTCATAAAGTACGATTTCTCAGGATTTAAACCAGGCTATCAAAGGGATGTCTTCCTGTGTGTTGTAATGTTAAAGACAAAATTTTAGGTTAAATAGATTTGTGTAAAACTGGAATATTATTATAATACTGTTTAATCTTATTGTTCTGCAATCAATGAACCGCTGTACGTGGGGCAAATCTTAACAACAGAGAAAAAGCAGATATATAATCAATTTCTATATGCATGCTAATGACTAGTTGTTCGATTCCAATTTATTTATTATACAAAAGCTGTCAAACTGATTTATTTACGCAATAATTGCATAATTGAGTAATTTGAGTAAATATTCTTGACCTTAAAAGATCTTGGCATAGAAATAATTGTCAAAATGCATTTCAGTGGATAAACTCTGGGGAATTCTAACGAGACATGTGCTGCTTCAAATAACATCAAAGGCTATAGAAAATTAATAAATCATGCATTTTATTCTTAATACTTATCAAAGAAACTTTTCAAATATGGCCAGAGCCAGAGTAAAATGAGCCATGAATTGATAATGTCACAATACTTTGAACATAAAATACAAACTCATGTATATGGCATGATAAAATCTAAAAAAAAAATCCAGTGGCGTATATTTAATTTTTAAGAAAGTCACTATCTTATACAAATATAACGCCAAAACGCGTAACAAAAATCGCAAATTGTAATATTAATATTGATAATTATAATGAAAGATTATGTGTATACGTTTTGGTTTATTCATTAAAGGGTAGTTAAAATAAGTGACATTATTTTGTCCTTGCATTTCAACAACAATCTATTTGTTTTATCATTTCAAAATTATGGATATTGATAAATTGATAGGACAATATCACTTTCATGTAATAATGTGATTTTTTTTATGTCATTGTTATTTCCAAAACATATCATAATTGATAAAAAAATGATCTTACATGACTGTTTATCATACCGTTGTATCAAAATGATATATATCTCAAACGAATATTTAATAAATTTTATTTAAGTTTAAAATACACATTTTGGTGAGAACATTTCATTATTTTCGAGAAGTCAGTAACAATTGGAGCTCATATGGTTAAGTCTTTTTTTTTTGTATGTAGTGTTTTGTGGACTATTTTTCCTTTACGTCGTGTTTCTTATTTAATCGTTGCGTTGTCGTTTTCTCTTCGTTTAATGAGTTGTCACCTTGGTATTTTCTACCTCTTTATTTAGAACCTCAAAATCGGATACAATCAGAAGCTGCCGACGAACATTCGTTCTCAAAATGGGCTAAAAGCTGGGCTAGGTGACCTCTTGAATCACAGCTAGGAGTGAGTTTTCGTATAGTATTGAAGACCTGACTTTGCCTATATGAAGAACAGGAATACAAGCGATGTCCCTTTGCTTTTTATCTTGTTATGTGTTTGTGAATGAATACACCATATGTCTTCTTTTTCATTTCGCTGATCGCACTGTAAATGCACCTATCATGTTAAAAGGAAACCCCAGGTAAACTGATTAACGTTAGCTGTAATGTAATTTTTTTTTCAAACAATTCGATATTTGAATGTAAAGTGGACTTTTATATTGGTACCATGTGCTTTTTATTTAGAAAATCAGAATGAAAGCAACATCTGTAATTTAAAGAAGAAATATAAACTCGATAAGATTTTTATATACGTTTACTTCGCCCTTGTTACTTTACTTTTAACCAATTTTTCTTTTGTTGAATTAAGTGATGTAGTTCTGATTAATTAATAACGGCCTTTGTACTCAAAGTGAATACTTTCGTCCATACTTCTAATTTGGATTTTTATGTCTTTGCAAAGGGGTTTTCAATTACTTTTTCAATTTTTCAGTATGTATTTATCAGTTTCAAAAGAAATGCATGAAAAGCAATGCTTTTAAAAATGAATATCGACCATTCTATGAATAAAGCATATGTTGTGTATTTGTTTAGTACTACACGTTATTAAAAAAAAGAATAAAAATATATACCTATTCACATCGTTCTTATATAGAAAATTGTTTTCGCGATGTTTTTCAAGTTATATCTATTCAAAAGAAAGAATATTTTATATTCATTAAGTCACTACGTATTATTCGTATTGCCGAACTTATAAAATGGTATTAGCACATTTTACTTTGTGTTCTCAACTCCGATGTTATACAACAAAAGATTTCAAGAAGCTATTGAAATAAAACTAACTTACGAATATCAACTAATTTTTGGGTTTATTGCCGTATTTAGAAGAATGTAAAGACGTTTTGTAAGTGAATAGATATTTCTATAAAATAAATGTACATTTTCTTTACATATTTTCCCAAGTCCCTATGAAGGTCAGACAGTTCATCTCAAAAAATGTACTTTAAGACTAATATAAAATTGTCAAGCAAAAAAAAAATAATTATTTAAACAAAAAATGACCACTAAACAAACATTGAGTGTCAAACGTAAGACAATTTAACAATGTATAAAACTTATTTTAGATCTAATTTCCTATATAGAATTAAGGATTAACAAAATTGTAGTTGAAGAGTTGCTGGCGTCAATATGGGATTTGACGGCGGCAATCTTCATCTACAGTACTGTTCCTATTCTAATGCATTATCAACAGAAGTAATACATTAGAGCTTTAACAAATGTATAAATTTGATATTAAATGAAATTCCGCGAAATTTCATACATGATTTTTGCGCATAAATGTCAAACATATGAAAACATTCATATTTAAAATTATTCCGTTACTATTTGTACCATTCAAATTTGGAGATCATCTCTTGAAAATGGCGTTTTGAGGAAAGTGTTGTTTTTAATTTTTCATTATGATTTATCAATCGAATATTGTGAATTTAAATGATTCAATATGGCGACTTTAGACATCTTCTTATTAGACTGGACATAGACTAAACGGAGCTTTATTGACAGCAATAGAATTGTTTGAATAGTACTGAAGTTACCGCTTAATCACTATATTTATCAGTATCTTTAATATAAATAAGAAGATGTGGTATAAGTGTCAATGAAACAACTCTCCAACCAAGTCACAATGTATACAAAGTGAACAATTAAAGATCAAAGTACGGCCTTCAACGCGGAGCCTTGACTAACACCGAAGAGCAAGCTATAAAGGGCCCGAAATGAATATTGTAAAACAATTCAAACAGAAAAACAAACGGTCTAATCTATATAAAAAACGAGAAACGAGAAACACTCAAGAACTACATCAACAAACAACATCCACTGAAACAGGTTCCTGATTTAGGACAGGTCCAAACAAATGCAGCGGGTTTAAACATTTTAACCTTCACCCTAACCTGAAATAGTAGCTCTTTAGATCAACATGACTGTTTCAATTCAAAGCTGGTTTACCAGTGAAAAAAAACTTGCAAACGTTAGTAATTTTGCTGATTTCGTCTGGCATTAATTCATTTTGCGTCCATTAAAATGCTTTGTAAAATGAAAACACAAAAAAGGAATCAGTTCAATATACCTTCGTACAATTTACTAATTGAAACTGCGAAAAAAAACCTTCTAAATTTTATCCATCAAATTTTCGTGTCGAAGAGTTTGATAATTCATTAAAAAGCATATGTAACAGAATAAGCAAGTTATATTTAATTACCTACTCATTTGTTTTTTAGTTTCATGCCCCCAGTGTTATAAATAAATGCTTTAAGAAATATAAAACACATTGATTGTTTCTTTTTATTCATTCAAAGTCAGATAATTGTTATTAGTGCGAGGAAGAAGCGTTGTGTGCATTTTCGTTAAATATGTGTCTTACGCTACATAAGCGTCGTTAAAAGTGTGAATATGACAGGCAGGATCATTTGTATGCAAAGACAATGTTTTGAGTCAACTAAAAACTGTTACTAACAAAAATATGTTTGTACTTCGTGAAATTTTCTGAATTGCAAAAAAAAGATAGATAAATAATAAAAAAAAAAAAACAATTATTATAAATAAATTACTGCCAAAAAACAAAAACAAACAACATAAAACTAAAAAAGTCTCTCCCTCTTAAAAAAACACGAGAAAAGGAATGTTTTTGCTTGAAACGTTTGGAGCAAACACAACCTGCCCCGCCATCTATGTTTCACTATACTAAAATTCAATTACAAGGTCATGGAAAGGATGGACAAATTAGATTTCAGCATAAAAATCATTAATAACGGTAAAAATTCACACCTTCTTCCATTTCATCTAATAGATATAAGAAGATGTGGTATGAGTGCCATTGAGACAACTCTCCATCCAAGTCAAAATTTATAAAATTAAACCATTATAGGTCAAAATACGGTCTTCAACGCAGTTTTTTACATAATTGTTTATACATATACGTCGCTTTATATTTGTCCACCCAGTCAATTAAGCAAGATGAAGCAAAATGAAAATTCTATGATCTTAATAACTTACATATAAGTAAAACTCCCCATGACTTATATGTCCAAAACTCATTTTGCATATATCGTAGGGACAACTTCTTTGCTATTCAAATAGTTTGCATTTCTATTCAAGTGGTAATGTGTCATAACTCAAAAGTTTAACATTGAATACATATAGATGAATTGGTCTTTTTGTATTATACTTTATGATTATATAATTTATAGTGTACATATCTATGACACACACGCATAGATTATTATTAAAATCTTAACCTAGGCGATTAGATAAAAGAGGTGAATTGTGTTAATTTCTGTCAAAAGGTTCAAAACAACCACTTACAATATTTTAATCCTGGTATCTATGATAAGTTTATTTCCAATTACCATCATTAAAACAAATAGAAGGATAATAAGTCACTTTTAGGTCCTTCAATTAGCGACTTATAAAAAGTACATGGACATTTTTTTGTAATTAGTATTGACCATGGATAATCTCAAGATATTTATAGGTTTAGTTAGCTTAAACCAGGTTTAATCAAACTTTTTCTCGGGGAAATGCCCGTACTAAGTAGGGAATATGACAGGTTTTTGTCAGGTCGTTCCGTTGGTTGATAAAGTCGAGCGTCTGGTTTAGCAAATTTTTATGGACTTTCACTTTTTTTATTTACCTTGAACTTCGATATTTTTGTTACAGCATTTTAAGGGCAAGTCTATCTTGAAATTAACTAATTAACTAGAATTAATGTGATTTTGAAAGAATTAAGGTCTCATGGCATCATGATTTTCTTGTTTCCAGGAAAGGATTTAAAGACAAGAATGGGTTGTATGATGAATTACCAATTTTCTAGAATTATTTAAAATTTTCTGTTGTGGAAACATGATTTTCAAAAACTCAAAAAAAAAATAAAGGACAATTTTAGAATATGCACATAATTGTTAAGAAAACTGGTCTATTTCTTCTTGTCGTCCTTGCCGACACGTAAATAAATGAAAACGCGTTATAAATTGCATGCATCCGAAGCGTTTTTCATTCACTTTAGAATACAAAAGTTCATTTAAGTTCACTTAAACTTAACCATAATGTAATCATATTATCCACCAACTCAATTTCCGTATTCATAATTGAGACAGAAATTACAAAGCAATTGATAGAAAATCAAGTTTTTTCTTCTCATTGATTTTACAAAAGCATGTCCAATTGAATTTTAATATCATATAATCATAGAACGTCGTATATCGTGCACAAGGATTTAGAACTTAAAGACTAAGGTAATCAAATTAGCATCTCGAAATTCTTTAAAAGAAAAGTGGCATATATCAATGGGATATTCTAACTCATAAGTCGAAGACAAAATGACAACGCCATATCAAACAGTAAAAACGATGATAAGAAAAACAATAGTCTACAACACAGCATAAGAAAACTAAAGACTGAGTCACACGGACCCCACCAAAAATCGGGGGCAATCTCTGGTGCTCTGAAAGGGTGAGCAGATCCTGATCTACATGTGGCAACTGTCGTGTTGCTCATGAAAGTACAAATTCAGTAACTTATATTTACATTTGCAAAACAGTTAATACTTATTTTATTCAAAAAAGCTCAACAGTATCGAATTGAGTACCAGCAGTGTCTGAACAGTACTAATAACTTGACTACAAGCAATGTCTAAACAGTACGCAATCAACTCAGAGCAATGCATGAACATTGTTGAATTTTCTGTAAGCAATGCTTTAACAGTAATTGACTGACCGGAAGCACTGTCTGAACAGTATTTAATTGTAGATTCAGAAGTCGTTTTTTTACTTGATTTATTTCAGGAATGAACCTGAAAAATAACTTACAATCTTAACCATTAGCAGTTCAGGTATGTGAAGATCAAATTGACAGTTTTCGGGTTAAGTTTATTAACAAGTTGTGAGCTAGGTATGTTTTTTGTCAGCTTTGCAATGTTCATAAGTTTTTCTTCTGTGTGAAGATGCTTAGGTTTTGCTCGGAAGTCGTGTAAATTGAAAGTTATGTTGCATGTCATATATAGTACAGGTATATCATTATACATTCATTTTATCTGCAAATTGGACAACATTCAAACGTACTTATTTGAAATTTAAACAAAGAGGCCATATACATTATATTAAATTGACGCCGTCGGCAATAAGATGTCAATTCATATTATTAACTATTACTTCCAGAAAATTCCCATATTGTGTCTTATTATATTGATGCTTCTAAGATAATGAAGTAGAAGTAAGTGTTTTGTGTCTGTTTCTAGATTCTAAGTGCACAACAACGATAAAACAGCATATATTGAGTGCAATGTATAAATATATGTTCTAGTATGAGCGTATTTCAAGTGTCATGTAATACTTTATATTCAGACACAATCTGTGACTACATCTATCAAGAGGTTGCCAGCTTTAAAACAAATAGCAGAAGCTACAAAAAGGACAATCACAATTCAATAGTCGAAATGAAACCGACAAAACCGTGGCGAAAAAATGAAAAACGACGAAAAGTTACGAGTTGTAGAGCTTGTTCATGTATCGAACAAATATCTGTACATGTTAAAAGTTTTCTCGTGATAATCTCCTACTTTGAATTTATCTAAATGTATAAATATATGTGAAAAAACTACATCAAAAAGACGACCGTGTATCGAAAATTACCGAATATAAGATGGCATAAAAGGTAAAGGAAACAGACCTCATGTAACTCAACTTTTCCTAAAAAGTAACTAAATATAAAGTAGTTAATAGCATTGACGTACCAACTGTGTTTCACCAGATGCACATTTCGACAATTAATGTCTGTCAAAAGATATTCAAGGCCAGGAAAAAAATCGTCATATTTTTAACCTTTAAAAAGGTACTAATTGTTAGACGTATTGTTCAACGTGTATGTAGCTAGATCTGACTAAATATTTGATGGATGTTTTTCTTAACGGATGACTTTTTTATGAATACATCTGTTATAAATATGTTCTTGTCCTAGATACACAAAAGGCAATTTAGTTTTGTTCAAATCGCGATTGCAAAGTTTTCAAAATACAAATCATGTGGGAAACTTCGAGAGAATCCGTTGAAAGAAACAAAATCGGTTGCATCGACATGGTATAACGTATATATGTATACATCAATAGTTGTAAAATACTAGTATAAAAATATAAAGAATGCGAATAAAAGACTTCATACAAATTTTGTCCACAATATTTTTTTAAAGAAACAAAGCAAAAGACACCCTTAATTATTATTTTAATGAGCGAAAGGGTCAAGATATTTCTTTCCTCCAAAATATAAATAATTCGAAGGAACTGAATGGCTTACCTGTTCTTGGTCTCTATATAAACCAATTGTTGCGTTCTGCCAAAACATATGGAACGTATCACCCTTTCTCACAAAAATGACACAAAGCATTCAACCCATCATGTGTACACACATTCACTTTTATGTAAATACACAATGGAATAATATATCTTTGCGTTATTGGACAAACATATCACCATTTCGAATATGAAAGATGGATGATATTGTTGGCAAGAAGTCCAATTCTAACGGAACATTTATTTATTTGTAGATTTGGGGATACACGTCAGAGAGGTTTTAGTCGTCCAATGGAGCTAAACTGACAAGTTAAACTGTTATGACTTAGCTTTGTTTAAAATCAATGATCGTCAAATGCATGTCCTGGTGGTGCGATGGTAGTGCGATACTGTGCAAAATTTGACAATAGTTTAAAACGATTGTGATAAGATAAAATGATAGTTTTGAATAATCACAGCTTTAATTCAAATATGGCAGAATCAAATACAATTGTAAGGGTTAATCAGATATTGGAATTATTAACATCTGTTTTAAATAAAACCTTTTAAAACATGTAATTAACATTTTGACAGCTTTGTATAAAAGTATGTTAAATACATTCAAAACAACTTTGGTATTTGGTATTTGGTCAGTGATGCTAAGCTTCATGTTGTATTGTCTCAAAAGAACATAAACCGGTCAACTGTTGCTTAATTTCCTATTCACAGCCAGTCATTAAAACGGGTGGATGGAGAAGGGAAAGGGGGGGGGGGGGGTATGTGCAGATGAACATGCAATGAAAGTGTAATTAAAGTTGCTGTTAATAGTGTCTAATTATACTTTTTTATATATAAAATAATTTTAAGCATGGATATTGAAGTTACCTTTATTATTTGCGTAAGAAACGTGAAACAATAACTGCAAATCGGCTTTTGACAATATGTAAAAATGAAATAGCCAAACACCTAGCACGAAATAAATATTGGCAGTTCTTTCTTTTACATAACAGGAAAACAGTTATCTTTCTTGGATGAATGTTCTTAGGTGACATAAGACATAACTGTGTATTTTCATTTTAACAGAGGAAGCACTTTTATAAATGTGTGTTAAATAAGAATGTTGGAAAAGAAGCGGAAGATACCAAGGGGACATTCAAAACTCATAAGCCGAAAAGATACTGACAAACGCCATGGCAAAACAATCGACGAAAATACAAACAAGTCCAGAGAAAAGTACACAGAAAACATTATCACAAACCCCACCAAAAACCGGGGTTGATCTCAACTGGTCCGGATTGTGTAAAAATGCATTATACTATTCGTTTTTATTATTGATTTATTCAGTCTGATCGCCAAAGGAGAATTCAAACACGAATAATGTATGCAAACACATTTAACCAATACATTCATGCGAGATGTGAATCCAATTAATCAATGTTGCCTGATAACTGTTTGTTACAATATGTATTACCGACTTTTTTAGTTTTTTTTAAACAATAAACAGATATAGAAAATAAGAAAACGAAAGAATTAAAACTACTCAGATTTGATGTTTTACTTTTGTAATGAAAAGGGAAGGCAAATAAGTTAATGGAAAATATATAACATATCTAAAAGGGTCTTAAACGTACATGGAGCGTAACCTTTACAAATACAATTCGCAATGGTTCTAGAACATTTGTAACTCGAAACACACTAAATCCCAACCCCTCGCGTAGCAATGAAGCGTTGTTGGTTCAGAACTCAAACAACCTAGAGTATTAAGTAAGAAAGTCTGAATGATTCGGAATTGACACAAAAAGGCCAAACGTACTAAACATTTAAAGTTAATTCTTGCTTTTCTATGTTATTCATCATATAAGTATTCTCAACTTGAAATTGTGTTCTTATTTTAAAACTTAATATATCTAATATGTTTAATAAGCAATCATATATCAAAATTTAACAAATTAATCAACGGGGAGATTTAAACGTAGTCTTCCCAAAAGGTACTCAAACATATGCAAATATAAGAATTTTTTTACAGGTATTTCAATAATGAAATATCATTTGATTAGTAATGATTTAAATTATTGAAATTGCTATTTAAAAGGACAAAGTAAATATGACATAAACGGAAAATAATTCAGTAGGTTTAATTTATAATAACCCGTTGAATATGTAAATATAAGAAACACCTTTAGGATTACAAAGACACCCACAATGTCTTTTGTGAATAATGTAGATAAGAGCCTTGACGATTCTATAGTAAACACATGCTAAAAGCAATTTTTACAAATTAATACAATTACTTCTTAGTCATGATGAGACTAAAATTGAATATTTTGTTTTGAAACTCACAAAACGAATTCAAATCGGTCTTTCTATTTTATCAGATTCAGTAGAGAAGGTTATATTAATCACGCGATACTCTTCCAACAGAAAACACATTGACTGTACTCTAAATGTTGTTCGTTCACATTTGAACTATTTTGTCGTTGTTGATGCCTCTGTACTTATTATTTTTTTTCTTATTTTCTTCCTTTTAGAAGAGACTCATTCAATATAAAAATAAGGAGATGTGGTATGATTTTCAATGAGACAATTCGCCTTTTCAGAAACTATATTAAAGAACTATGGGTAATATCATTGTTCGTACACCAAAATGAAAATAAGGTTAAGTCATTATCGAATTTCCATTGTTTAGAACGTTTTAAACCAACCACAATGTTTTGGTGTACGCTTTTGAAAATATCACCCAGAATGCATTATATTCTGAAACGGCGAATTATCCACTAAATACCAAAGGAAGAGGATGTAAACAACTATATGTCACCGTGAGGTCTTCAACAATGAGCAAATCCGACACCGTAAAGTCAGCTTTAAAAGGTCCTAGTATGACAAGATGTGAAACAATTAAAAGAGGAAAACCAACGACCAAAGCCATATGATTCTATAATTGTTTAATACATTTGGAAGAGACCCAACCAACATATTTGCAGTTGTTATTTCTGTTGCTGTTGTTTTAAGAATTTGCACTGACTACAGACAGGAACATAATAGTCTCGAACAGAAAAATGAAAAGTTTAGTACTTCCGGTGTCTAGGTTTTCTTAATCGTCTGAAATTACTCTTAATGAAGAGGTTTAAAACATACCACAAGTAAAACTACTAATTGGTCGTTTCGAAATCTAAAGGACTATGGGTAATTTTATTGTTCGTACCCAAAAATGAAAATAACGTCACGGCATTGGTTGAATTTCCATTGTTTATGACGTTTCTAACCAATCACAATGTTTTGGTGTACGCTTCTGAAAATATTACCCAGAATGCATTAAATTCTGAAACGGCGAATTGAAGGTACTCCAATCTATTATACTAAGAATACGTGACTGATAAAAACACAAAACACCGTCTTAATGTGAAGACTACTTATTTTTGATTATCCTCAATAACAGGTTGCAGCATGAACTAGTACTGAGCTGATGATACCCGGACTAATAATCCACAAGCAGAGGTATCGTCTGAATCTGCTGTACCAAAAGCCGGTAATAAGATGTGAGTTTAAAAACTTGTAAAGTACGAAAGTGTTTAAAGATAGAAATTTTCGATATCTAGAGGTAATTATGATTATACCACATGCATTCTTCTTTTGATTAAATAGCTGAGAGAAAAAAATGATCAGCAAAAGCTTTTGTTCTTAATATCCAGTTTGTGTTTATATTATTACCTTCTTTAATTATGTTTTGTTTATAGAATGTAGCTTTTTATATATCTTTGTTATGCAACTTCAGTAGAAAGATGCGTTCGACTAATTTCTTCAACATGAGATGCACTTCAGTATATAATGATACTTTAGCAAAGGCAATATGTCACAAAACACTGACTAAGATAACAAACATTTTCCCAAAGCAAACAAAAGATCTTTGTAGCCTTTTTTTCATTGCATGTAACACAAAAGTCTTTCCCTACCGCACAAGTCGAGTATACACATCATATTGAAATTAAAGTATTATGGACAAAATTATTAATTAGATAAAGTATCAATTACATTTATGTTATATAGTTTATTCGACTAATTTCAAAGAGATTTAATTAAAGCATTTATACTAATACCATTGGTTCTTTTAGATGGCATAACCAGTGGCGGGTCAAGGTAATGAGGAAAGGATTGTCGTAATTTTCCAAAACGGAAAAAAAAAAATAAACAACTACATCACACAATGTAGGAAACATTTGTGTACAAGAGTGAAAATAAGTTTCCTCGAAAAAAAGCATGCGTATAGCAACAGATGAAAATGAATAGTCAATCTGCAAAAAATCTTCTGCCCCCTACCCGCAGAACTTCAAATGGTCGTCCCCTAGCAGTCTCAACGACAACATCCCAAAGCAAACATTAATAGATCACCTACCTTTACGGTTTTAGGGGAGAATGATTGTAGGGTTGATGTACATCCCTCTTTGAGCAATTAAAAAAAAGTTGATATTCAAATACATATATCGAGCCATTTTGTGAAAAAGTACGTGTCAGGATTACATACATGCTGTATACATTACAGTCGATTCCAAAGGAATGTCGTGCGTATAGTTTTCAGCTAGTAACTTATTGTCCTTGGTTGCTATGAGAGTGTCGACCAAATATAATAAAATGTTCAAACATGCTAAAACCATTAGTAACTTTGTGGTGTAATATACCACATCAATTACGATTTCTGTCTTAAAAACTTAGGTTATTGTGAACTTGACCTAAAGACAATAAATTTCAAGATTCACAAAATAAAACTCTTACTTTTCTAATTATCGGCCGCTGTGCATTGTTTTTGTTGTTGTTGTATATCAGCTTAAATTTTTATTAAATTGTACTATAAACTTCATCTTCAACTGTGTTTTAAATAGTTAGAACCAAGTTAGATCACTACAAATACATAGTAATGGAGACGAATGTGCAAACACCCTAATACCGGTACTGCAGATGCAATAGGTAACACGGATCAAATTCTGCTGTGCACGGTTACAAAATCCATTGTATTGCATTGGAAATTGGGACATCAGACAAAATCTACTTTACTTGATAGGAAAAACAACTGATTTTGATGACATTTGGGAACTTTTGTCCTATTGTATCTGCTGTAGTTACAGTCGGTAATAGAGGTGTGGTGCCCTTCCAATGATAATTTATCTACTTAAAAAAATGCATCAGAAGATTGTACTGTGAAAATTATCTGAACATGACACCAATACATTTTTAACATACACGTGT